GTTGCGTCAATATTAACTCCATGTTGACTCCTTCTTGACTCCATGTTGTCTTCGTATTAGCTCCATATTATTTCGGAATTGTCTTCTTAATACTGGCTTCGTACATGCTTCAAGTTATTTATTAATGAACTCCATGTTATCTCTGTATTAACTTCAGTATTAAATCTATATTGACTCCATATAAAACTCAAGTTGGTGCAGAATTAGCTTTATGCTGTCTACATATATTAGCTCCATGTTGACTTCGTTTGAGTTCCATGCTGATTCCATGTCAACCTTAGTTTGCTTCCACATTAGGCCCAGTTGACCTCTGTATTAACTACGTGCTGACTTTCGTTACTTTCTTTGAGAATTACAACATTAATAGTTGGTAAAACATCGAATAAATAGCTCCATTGGTGTTCTTACCAAAAGGAGAAACAACCCTAGACCACGATTATCATTAAGCCCGATTACGTATATATTCAGAAATGCCGGCCGAGAAATTCATGCCATCAATTTACAAATGTATGCTACTTATATTTATTTGAATTATAATTGAATATAAATGCAATAGAGAAAAGTCATTGCAAGGATGCCAAAGAAGGGTTTTAATACATCGAAAAAGGAGGTCAGCATCTTTCAATGACTGAAACCAAGATGTCTAATGCAAAATTCTTAGCATATTTATCTTGACAATAAAAATAGACATAATAATGTGATATCGCCACTTTATAAGCAATCAGTTGCTAATTGTCTATTACTGTTTGTAATTAATTATATAAATTATATTATTTAATCACATGCAAGTGAATAGATAAATGCATATGATGGTAATCATTTACAACATTAAAATGTGCCATTTACTTCGTTTCGTCGTCAAAGTACCTCAAAAACGGAAAAACAGATGAATCAATTGAATTATTGTAAAAGCCTTTTTACTTTAAGGATTCAAATTTTCAAATAATATTAGATTTCAAAGTACGTGCTGCTCTCTAGTAGCTATTGTCCACATTATTTCGTCCATAAGTCAGCGAATACTTAAACCTTCTCAAACGAAGTTGGTTTCTACTACTTTTCACTGCGTTATTATTTTGAAAAAAACAGTAAAAGTGAATAAAATCAGAAAATAAACATTTATTAAATTAGTATTTTTAGTTTTCCATTATTTTCATCCAAAAAGGGGGTAAGTTGTATCTTAACAATATTTATATTTATAAATTGCTTCAAATTGTGAAATGGTGTTATTAATAATTTGTTTATATTATTTTTGGGAATTATGATTCTTTTGAATTTAAGGGCAGATATTAAATTCGAAAGCTCATTTTCCCAATTTAGATTTTTTAACTATATGTGGCGCTGAAGGTATCTTCCTTCGAATAATTGTAGGTGTCTCTGCAAGAGAGAGGGGGCACAGTCGCAAATTTTTGTGGGGACAATAAGTAAATAAAATATAATAAAAATGCAGGTTATGTAGGTTATGTAGTCGTTTTTCGATTAGATAAAAAGCAGTGACGCAATTAATCTCACGGTAAATTGTTAATTTCGTTCAAAGTAACGTACAGAACATGTAGTTGTGAATTTTCGTGTATCCAGTGTTAATTTACAATAATGGTTTCTGTCACCCAATGTCTCGATGATAATAGCAGCGATGGACATTCATTCTTTAAAAGAGTTGGATCAGCTTTATTCTACGGAATAGCTTCTTTTATGATAACTGTTGTTAACAAGACAGTTCTAACTTCTTATGGATTCCCATCGTTTCAAGTTTTAGGGTTAGGTCAAATGACAGCAACTATAATAGTGCTTTTCATAGCAAAACAGCTACGAATTGTTAAATATCCTGATTTAGAGCCTAATACATTTCGAAAAGTATGGCCTCTCCCACTTATATACGTAGGAAATATGCTTTTTGGCCTAGGAGGAACCAAAGAATTGAGTTTACCAATGTTCACTGCATTGCGAAGATTCTCCATACTTATGACAATGGTTTTGGAGTTGTACATTTTAGGAATAAGGCCTTCTTTCAGTGTACAGTTTAGTGTGTATATGATGGTCGCGGGGGCAGTTTTAGCTGCATGTGATGACTTAGGATTTAATCTACAGGGTTACATATTTGTCTTACTAAATGACTTCTTCACTGCAACTAATGGGGTGTATATGAAAAAGAAGCTGGACTCAAAAGAGTTAGGAAAATATGGGCTTATGTTTTACAATTCATTGTTCATGATTTTCCCAGCACTGTTCTTTGCTTATTACAGTGGTGATTTGGAGAAATCTTACAATTTTGAATCATGGACAAATGTTGTGTTTCTTGCACAGTTCCTGATGTCGTGTGTTATGGGATTTGTATTATCCTACAGTGTAGTGCTGTGCACCTTGCACAATTCTGCTTTAACAACAACAATCATCGGGTGCTTAAAAAACATTCTAGTGACGTATTTGGGGATGGTCATTGGGGGTGATTACATCTTTTCGTGGATTAACTTTGTTGGATTGAACTTTAGTGTTATTGGAAGTTTGCTGTACACTTATGTGACATTTAGGAAGAAAGAAACCCCTGCATATATCCCAGTGCCCATGGAAAACTCGAGAAGTGCTAATGTTGTATAGCGATGGTTTTTCTTTAGGTCATCTTATAAAAAATAAAGTAAGGTTTCCATTGAAACTTTAGTACTTCAGTATTTGCTGTTTTATTGAATTGCAATTTAAATGCTAGTCTTTTAAACAATTAGCAATTTAAAAAAATATCTTTTCTACAAAACAAATTGTTATGATTAAAAAGTTTTGATGTTTTCTTTACAAAATTTTTGTTTTATCCATTAGTATATTGAATGAATTTGTATGTAAAAAGTTTTGTGCCATTATAGGTAACTACAATGGATACTCAATAGTGTGAACCAAAAAAGAAAAAACAATTGTTCATGTTAATGAATGTTCAATGTGGACTTAATAAACAGCATTAATTACTAAAACAAACATTTACATACAAGTATTAAACAATTGCAAGTTAATATCATGTTTCACGAAAGAAGTACTGGCTTTTTTCTTATCATTAGTTTTCTCTTAGTTTTCGGGGAAGTACCAGTATATAGGGGATTTACAGTAATGGCGTAAAAGCAGCGTCGAAATATCAGATTTTAAAGTCAATAGACATTAATTTCTATAAGCGAATGTTTAATTCATAACATAATTAATGTTCGGTTCACGTAATGGGGGGTTTTCATGGCGATGTTCACACTATCGAGTGTCTTTTACATAACTGGATAGTTATGAAGTAGGACAATTGATTTATTTAGTGATATTCCGATAATTGCGATTGATATTTATTATTAACATGTTGAATATTTTCATTCTAAGGGAGGTTTGAAAGGGCTTATTGCATAATGAAAGGCCCGTGTTACGAAATTTATTCCTTTCTCAATTAATCGTTTTATTGGAAAATTAGTGAGGCGTAAATCAATTAATTAAACATAAATAATAAATGAATGTGATTAAAAGGATTTACATTTTGCGTATATCAAACGGTGTAGTAATTATTCAGTGGATGCAATACAAATAATTGCCTAATAGGATTTTATTATTATATACCTAATTGTTATGTCCTTTTCATCGGGGTATTTTTTTTTAATTTTTGCCCACTCAGTCACAGTTACGTATACTTTAAAACAATAGGTCTTAAAAATACAATAGTACGTATAAAAAGAAAATAAAATTTTTCTGTTTACGCCTAGGTTTTTATGAAAAGAATTAACTTTTATCTTACCATTGTGGTACCTAGAAAGTTCGAAATTTACCTGTATATAGACGCTATTAGATGTAATTAATAAAAAATAAAAAGTGGTGCTATTGTTTTACGATTATATTAAAAGTTAATGATGCTTTTTATCGTTTTTTTAATTCTGTGATGGTACCGAACTGCAATTTTTATATATTAGGTACCTCCTAAGCACAAGTTCATTTTTTTTTCTGAGTTTTCCAACCGTTTTATTGGAATTGTAGGTATAATAAGCCAGAAATAGTTTCATTACTTTTTATTAGACAAACTTGAGTGTCAGTACTGACCATGAAGTTGTAGATGCCAAAGTATTTTAACATCTTCCTTGTCTAATTTGCCCTTGAATGCGTTAACTACCTAAACTAACTAATATTGTTTGTTTATCTACTTATACTACAAGTCGTTTCAATCAGCATAAATAATATTTGCTTACTAATTTCAGATTGCATTTTTAAATGCTTATTTAATCATGGGTGTTAAATAGCCTTATAAAATTTTGATAGTCCACACAGATGATTAAAAAATACCTACTTAAGTCAACTTCACTGAATGCTTTTGTGTTAATTTTCACTTTTGAAAAAATGTACTTATCATAATCAGTAAAAATATTTTCGTTTCGATTTTAGTTTTTGTTGTTTATAAAGAAAAAGGTTACCGAATGTTTCCCTGTAGGTTTATACTTTTCTAAAACTTATGATGTGGTGCCTATAAATAATATAATTTCTATAAAGACATAATAGTATGTTATACCTACGATTTAAAACTTATTAATTAATTCTAGGTAGGTTTTAAATTTTTTTGTGATTGGAAAATAAGTAAATGTGTTGATGTGTTGATTTTACTTACTTCCTTACTATGTAATNAGTGTAAAACATATATATATATATATATGACCTGTAAAAATGAATTTCATTGATTTGTAAAATGGGGCTGAGGTAAAGGATTGCCTGTGATGTACAAAATAAGAATAAATAAAATGTTGATATTGTATATCTGCGTAATTATTACTTTCCTCTTTTATCTAAACCAATGTGATAAAAACAAATGGCTTATCTGTCAATAAATTCGATCAGGTAATAAGTGCCTTTTTAATTGAAAGATAAATTCTACATGTTCTCATAAAATAGTGTAAGTATTACCTTGCAATTGATTTATCGGTTTTTTGCTCTTCTTTAAGAAAGTTTATATCTCGTTTCTGAACAGGGGCGCACTAAGGCCTAGGCACGTGCCTAGGTCCGTACTACT